CTTCCCTGGCAAGCGCAAGGGCCTGAGTTCAATCCCTGGTTCCTCAAAAAAAAAAAAAAGAACTCAAGCTAGGTTAATTTCATAATACTATTGCCTGTCTTTTGGCAATGAAATGTAGTCCTGTAATCAGGATATATAGAAACCCTTAAGGCAGACAAAATAAATTGGATTTTGATTTTTCTTTTTAGGTCTAAGACTTCTGAAGATAGACTGAGTTGGGGATGTAGCTCAGTGACACAGTACCTGCCTGGCAAGTTCAAGGTCCTGAGTTTGATTCCCAGAACAAACAAACAAAAAAAGAAAGAAAGAAAAAGAAAAATAGATATGCTTTGCTTTTCTCAAGGAAGTTTAAAGGAAGTAGATTTGAACTCACTACAGGGAAAAAAATGTATTACTGGTATTGAAAAAGAGGTAACAGTTGTGCATGTACCAAACAGAGGTCATTAAAATTCTTTTAAGATATTGTAGAAGAAATTTATTTGTCAGATTGAGCCAAAAGGAGACTTTATCTCTAAATCTTTTCACTTTCAAAAAATTATATTTCTGCATTTGTGTTTGTGAATTTATTTATTTTTGTCTTGTTTTGTTTTCGTATTTTAGGACAGGGCCTATAGGGTCTCACTGCGAAGATCAAACTCTTAGTGATTCTCCTGTTTTCAGCCTCCAAGCCCTGGGATTACAGTCGTATGCCACCATGCCCATTCTCAATCTCCATCTCAGCATGCCCAGGGACAAGGCCAGCATGGCACACTGGGGACCAAACCCCGGCTGCTGCGCTCTGCCTAAGCAGGCACTTTAGTCTGCTGAGCTATTTGGCCAGCCCTGTGTATTTGTGAATTTAATAATTATTAGTTGGTTCATTCATGAGGGTTATTCTTAATTTTTCTCCTTGTAAATAGTCTTCCCCTTATCACTACCTTTTTTTTTTTTTTTTTGTCTTTTTGAGACAGGGTTTCACTGTGCAGCTCAGGCTGGCCTTGAGCTCACTTTGGAGCCCAGGCTGGTCTCTAACTTGCAATGCTCCTCCTGCTTTAGCCTCTAGAGTGCAGGGATTATAGGTGTGCGCTACCATGCCTGGCTCTTTATTTTTCTTTATAGCACTTATGCCTGGTAATGTCTAGTGATTGCTCGTCACTTGCCTGCCTTACTAGTTGTAAGCGTCTTTGAAACAGCCTTTGGTCACTGCTGCATTGCCAGCTCCACAAGTGTGCTTTGCACATGCCTACATTCAAGAGACATCTTCTAAGACTTTATATAAAAGATGTATATACAGCTGTACAGTTTTTTCTAAATGTGAAAGTGGTACTCCTTTTAAGGAAATACAGAAGAGTGTAAGAGAAAAGGGGATTTTAAAAATTGGAGGAATTTATCAACAATGTATAAGCCTAGAAATGTGCTTGATTGAGTTTATGTTAGCATTTGAGGTGCTTAGGCCTTGTCAAGCCAGGAACTAATGGAAATTCACATCATCTGGTTCGTCGTGTAGTAAAGATGGTGGTGAAGAAGGATGGCTCCCCAGGGATTACCTCTGAGAAGACAGGCTTCAGGGCCCTTACTTGTCTGGAGGACCTCTTCTTTTGCTTCCTGTAATTGGTGATACCATAATTAGGCCTGCATATCACTTCTCAGCACTGCCTTACAAAGCACTTCATTTAGCTGGGCTTATGGAGATTAGATCATGCACAAGAAACTGGCTTGTCGGTTATCAGGATCCACAGAGGAGTCGGGAGGCTTAAGAATTATGAAAAATTAGGTTGATTTAAAAAAGAACAAGGTTTACTGGAAAAGTGCAGAGATTTTTCCAGCCTGTGAACATGCCTCCATGACCTTTCAATTCTTATAAACAGTATCGATTCCTACCTCGGTACCCTTTCTATAAATAGGGGCCTCTTTAATCTTCCCTTTCTTCATCTTTAAATAGGAGTGCTAAGTTGACTTTGGGAGATTGTTATAATTTTAATGAGCTAACTAAAGAATCTAGTGAAGTACCTTAAAGATTTGAAAAAGCCTTACCATAGGCCCTGGAACACATACATAATTTTCTGCTCCTCCTCTTCCTTGTATCATCATTGTGTATGCTGTCAGACTTTAATTAATTTATTTAACAAAAGTACATTTTAAAATCCTATTGTTTATAGTAGGGAATAACTATTATTCAAAATGAAATGAAAGGTCATGGAGACATTTTACAGGCTGGAAAAATCTCTGTTCTTTTCCTTAGACACTTTAAATTATTTGTCTTGAGGTGTTATTATAATTCATTGACTTCTTTTGTTTGTCCGGTTATGTCACAAGCAACTGGGAGCTAAGGAATATTATTCAGTTTTATACTCTACTTGTAGTGCCTAGGACAGTACTTGAACTTTGTGAATGTCTAGTCAAAGTCTGTTGAAATGCATCATGTTAGGCTTATTGAAAAGTACAATTCAAGTATGTGTAGTTATTGTTAATAAAAGCCAACATTCTCATATATTTAACTGTATAAAGCTGACATAGACCTAGGTGTGAAGAGTACTTCTCTGAACAGTTACTGAATTGGCAATCACATCCTAAGAATGATGAATCCAGAGTAAGTTATGTTTTATTTACAATCTAGAGGTTTTTTGTTTTGTGTTTGTCTTTTGGTGCTGGGGATTCAACCTAGGGCCTTGCACATACTAAGCACATGCTCTACCACTGAACTACATGTCTAGTTCCTAGATCTACTTTTATGTTTTTCTCTTTGATGGTAATTGTTACTTCCTAATAGCAGGACCTTTTACGGCAGGACAGCTGTCATATAGATGAATAATAAGCAGATTAGGAAGCTCAGAGGTGGCCACAGTTAGGAAAGGAGCCTCAGAAAATGAATTAATTTACACACCTCACTGGGAAGTTCAGGAACATTCTGATTCAGTCTCTGCAGGTTTGATCCTGTCTGCCAATCTTAAATAGTTCTGTCACACATTGAGCACAGCCTTAGAGCTGAAATTATGTACATTAGGAGGAGAGGATTGCATTCAGTTAAGACTCTGAAGTCCTGCCAAGTTTCTGGTGTTTGTGTACCGTTGTTCTGGCCTCACATGTGCTCTGTGCCTCACTGTGTCCTTTCCCCTAGGTGTACGTGGTGGGGAATGAACCTCTCGCAGTGCTGGTGGATTCCTTGCTTCCAGTCCTAAGGATGCTCTTTGCACTCTACTGCTTCACAAAGCAGACCGTGTCTCACGTAAGGTGAATAATGAACAGAACCTTATTTACTTATGGAATCAAGCAAATTTGATTGTAGAATCTTTATCTGTAAAGACACAGGCCATTTTGTATTTCATTCAAAGTCAGGAAATCATTTGGGGAGCCTTAATCTGCTCTTCTAGAAAAGAAAGATTTTCAGATCAAAGGGATTTGAACATAGTTTTTGGGATGAATTTCCTCAGCCTCTATCCTAAACATCAGAAACAAATCTATTTCTGTATATAAACATGTCAATGAAAAATATTGCAATTACAGATGTAGAAAAGAGCAAACAGGACAGATCATAATGACCTTGTGAGGAGTTAGGAAACAAGTTTGAAAATCTGGATGTGGCTGTAGCACATAGTAGTTAGCCTGGGACTTGATATGAGTGATACCATATTGTTTCAAGCAAAAAACAATAAATAAAAAAGAAGACCAGCAAGATAGCTTAGCGGTCTAAAGGTAAGCCTGCTTAGGTAAGCTTAGGCAAGCATTTAGGGACTGCAGTTTAATCTCTGGTACCACATGCAGTGCCAGCCCCACCCCCAGGG